AGAAAAAAAGCAGCAGTGACTCAGCCTCCCACATGTGGGGACACATGGGGTGAGCAAGGCTCTGCAGAGCTGCTCCCTGCCTGCTCTCGCCGGCCCTTCCTCGCCCCCCACCCAGGCCCTATCCTGCCTTCCCCAGACCCCAATGTGCCAAGCAGTCAAGTGAAAATCAAAGTCCTCTGAGGCAGAAAGGCACAGCTGTGTGTTTACAGCCACTGATTCACATCCAAATCGCATCCCCTGCCAGTCTCCGCAAGGCAGGCTGGGGGCAAACCGTGTGTGTGTGTGTGTGTGTGTGTGCCAGGCAGGAATCTATTTTGGGAGGTGACCTGCAGCCCTCTGCCATAACAGAGCCTTCCTCCCACCCCCCACTCAGGAAAGACGTCCTTCTAGAAGGAGCTCTTACTTTAGAAGTGGCTGATGGGGTTGTGGGATTTCAGCCTGTTCCTTGTCACTTGTCCAGTCAGACTGCTGGCACCTGTCCCCAGGCAGCCGCACAGGACAGCCATGGGCTCCCATCTGTCCAGTGAGAAGACAGTGAAGGTGACTGCGCAGCCCTCAGCAGGATAGACAGCGGGAAGTGCAGACCATTCAGGCGACAGGACGCCCACCTCTGCAAAGGACAGAGTCCCCCTCATTCTGTCAGAGAAGCAGTGGCACCATCCAAGGGGTGGGAGAGAAAAACCTTCAACCGCTAGTCAGACTTTGGAATAGCAGGAACCTAGGAAGGAGGCAAAGCTGCCTAAGTCAAGGTCAGGGAGAAGAGAACCAACGCTGCCTGTGTCCAAACTGGAGAATTAGAAATCAGAGAGCTCAAGGTCTAAGGACCTCGAAGGCTGAGAAATAAGACCACCATCATGCTTCCCCCAAAATGAGCTCTTGGTGAAAACAAACTCAGAGCCTTCCCTTTTTTAAAGCAAATACTTTTTTCAAGTAACTTTGGTTGCAATTGAGTTTGGGAAGCATGGTATTCTGAAAGGAGGGCAGGGTCCAAATCCACATGTAGGAACAATCTGTAAGACATCGCTATGAAGCAGGATGCTGCACGGGACACTGTGGGGAGCTGAGAAGAGCTCAGAGCACTCGGATTTTTCAGTTTAGTGATGTTACCCAAAAGCCAATGAGAGAAAGACACTCGGGTATTTGATGGCTCCCCAACAGATGGGATGGTAGACAGAGCTGGGAGTGTGTAGACACCCCAGCAGTCCAGGGTGAGTGGACATTTCTTGATTTTTCCAGACAAAGCGAGAATAAATGGAGGAAAGACATGGGGAGGGTCACTCTACTGAAGCATATTCTAACAGTAGCAACTACCCAACAGTGGCGTATGTCGCCTCAAGGAACGCTGAGCTCCCTAGAAACCTGCAGAGGCTGAACAGCCAAGGACATTGTAAAGTAGGTTTCTGCACTGGATTTCGTCATCTCTTCCAGCTGAAACCCTCTGATCCATTAAATATTTGTTAAATGGATCCTGTGGCATTCTATTCTGTGGTTTTATAAGTAAGCCATGGAAAATGAGAATGGATCCTATGGAGGGAGTTTGCTGAGAGTGAGGAGAGGGATCCAAAAGTCAGATTAGACTCTGCCTTGGGGGAGAAAAAGCCAGATGATGACACAGTCAAAGCAAGGGCAACTGTCCAGGAGTGGAATTACTGCCCTTTGCATGTCATCGTTGCCATTTGGGTTTTTTGTTTTGTTTAAAGCCAATCCTGTGGCTGTAGCTGAGCTCTAGGCAACAGGGCTCTCTCCCTGAATGCCTAAAGGGAGGTGAGTGAGTAGAGGAGCCCGTTGGCACAGGGAGGCTGAGCAGCTGTAGTGAGTAGAGCTGAGCACAGCTGGGGTGGGCGTGTATGTGGGGCGCCCTAGCACTGCATTGGAGAAAGCTTGGCCCGTCATTATTCCCACCCAGAAAAGGTGTTGTGTTGAAAGCAGGAGAAATGATAAAGTCAGTTGCAGATTTCAGGTGGGCAAGCTGGCACCAAAAACATCTCAGCCTCGCCAGGAGCAGAACATGCCTCCATAGGCCTTAGACCGAGGAGGAACTACCCTCTCTATGCCCCTCCTCTTGGGCTCTGCCTAGAGGACTCATCTTGAACCCAACTGGGAAGGCAAGGACTCTCATGTCCCATTCTTTCCAGCTGTCCTGAGGACCAACCTGGCTGCCTATGGGACTCTCTCCCCTCTCTTAGTCTTCTCTAGGGCTGCTTTCAACTCATCACGGAATTGTGTAATTATGGTGATTATAGCTTATGGCTTTTTTTCCTCTCCTCATCTTTTGCTTTCAAATTCTTTGAGGCCTCTCATTAAACATGGCGATCCCGGTAAAGTCAGCAAAGTTTTAATAAGACATTTTTTCAAGCTAAAGATTGTAACTATATTCTCTCAGACAGTCCATTAAAACTCTGTCAGGCATAATTGGTGTCTGGATAGAAGACGTAGGGGAGAGAGGAACGGAGATCGAGGGTACACCCATACTTTCTCACAGGGTTGGAGAACTGTTCTTCACCCTGCCCCCTGGCCTTTCTCATTTGCGCCAAGAGCGTGGTGCATCTGAATACCCCGTGCCTACTGGAAAAAGACCAGGATGGAAAAAGTCAAGCAAGGATCAAGGGCGGGCCTTTCCATCATAGCAGATTAAGTCGGGAAGTGGAGATACAGGAGCCAATGAAAAACTCAACCCAACCTTGTAATCTGCAGCAAAACCAATGAGGAAATTCTGATGGGTTCTCGCTCCTGGATGATACTGAAAGGTTCCAGGGCACCCATAATTCTAAATATGTAAAGGAGTCAACCATTAGCATCTGTGAGTGATCACTGCCCAGCATTCATAAGCTTGATGGCGGTTTCCTGGGCAATGACACAGCTGCAGAGCTCATCATTTGCAAGCCTTCAGTCATAGCTTCATGAATTGTTTCTAGGGACCTTACGAGGAGTAATAAGAAGGTGTGTGGGTGGGGTGGTGGCCACCAGCACCCCCAACCTGCCCTCCAGCAGCTTCACTCAGGTTTGGTGACAGGGTCCCCTTTCTTTCTATACTCCCAGGACCACATAGATGATGTACAGCGAGGTGCATCTCGCCTAGGCCATAGTGCATTTTGAGAGGCTCCGATTGGCCCCTCATGGCTGCCTGCCCTGAGCCATCCAGACTCTCCTTATTCTGTCAGTAGTTAGCCATGTGGGGTGTGACTGAGCACTACCAACCACTCAGGGTTGAATGTTGTCAGAAACCTGGCAGCAACGTTTCCCCCAACTGCATTCTCATCCCCCACTGAAGATGGCCTAGTGGCTTTGCCCGCTGAGAACAACATCCCTTTCCCCACCAGGATGCAGAGAAGTGGGCTGAGTTAGAGACAGACAGCCCCAGCTGAATCCTATTTCTCCACCTGATATTGGAATGAGACCCTGGCAAGTCGCTCACTTACCTGATGGGTGTAACAAAGCCTACTGCGTGCAGTGGCTGTTGGCACTAAATGAGGGCGTGACAGCAGTGGCTGCCATTTTTGGGGGCTGACTGTGTTATACTACGGGCATCTGAGTCATGCTAAGCTTGACCTGAGAAGGACTTTGATTCTACCTCGCTGTACCACTTACCTGGGTGACTTCAGCAGCTCCGCTAAGCCTCAGTTTCCTCATCTGTAAAAGAGAGATAAGAGTAAATGATTAAGTGGGGAAAAAATACACGAGGTGCTTAGCACAGTGTTCATAGTGTATCTGCTCAAGCCTAGCACTTTGTATTATTATTTTCATTATTATGATGTTTTCTGCAGCCCATGCTTAGCTCTTATTACCTTACTTAGTTTCCAATAATATTCTGTGAGGCGGGTCTCGTTAGATTTATTTTGCAGTTGAGGATAGTGAGGTGGGTATTTCATATATGACAATGTGTGCAAAGCACATTTATTTATTACAGTGACCAGCTCAATGAACTACTCAATAAACCGTAGCTGTTATTATTGGCTTATTTTTAAAATCGATCCAGAGAGCCAATTTCCCTGCTTTCCCTGGGAATGGAGGGACTCTGGTGCCAGCTTCTGCCTGTGGTCAATTTCCCAGGGCCCCTAAGCACTTCCCGGGGAGCCGTGGGAGCTGTGGGGCTCGTAGCTGTGTGGCGCTGGAAGGTGGAGGGAGCCACCAGGAAAATGTCGCATACGATGTCAGGATCTGGCATTTGCCCCCTACTGAGGTGCAGGACCCTGAGACGCCTCCGATCAGGAAACATTCCCTCCACTCCCCACCCCCACCTCCCCATGATAGGACCATGAAATTCAACCCTCCAGATGCAGTGCTTGGCACAGCAGACGCCTCATTCCCAGAAACCCTTTCCTTTCAGCTGCCTGGAGCTACCTGGAGCAATACAGCCTCACCAAGCCCTGCTGCTCCATCTGCCAGATCGACAAAGGCTTTTCTATTTTTTAAGCACGTACTGCAAGGTGGGGTTGTTAGAGGAGTCAGGAACAGGTGGCAGGAGATGCTTGGAAATCCCAGTAAACCAGAGCCCTGGGGTGCATACTCCTACTGCTTGCAATACTGACAGAAACAGAAGCGGAGAGGTCATTTCCACTGACATGGATGGCTTTTTCCTGGGGAGAATTCAGGGTTTTTATAGTTATATCTTAAGGTAAATGCTTTAAGTTTGCAGTGTTTGTCCAAGATTGGCATCTTAGGAGCCTGATGTTCAAGCTCTACAGCCAATCACGTGTTTGCTTATGCACCTTGCATGAGATGCTTATGTAAGTAAGTGCCTGTGGCGTAAACATGCACATGAACGTGTGTACAGCTGTACACACAGTGCATGTGCTGCCTGCCTGAGAGACACCTCCATGTTCAGTGTATGGTACGTGTGTGACATACGCTGCAGGACTGCATGTCGCCTGCCCATGGATTGCATGCCCACTGCAGCTGTGTGCGTGTCTGGGCAGGGGCTCCCTTAAAGCCTCAGGTCTTCATGGTTTCAGCTGGATAAGTTATTCTTCACTTCCCTTCCTAAAAACACAATTGCCTAGTGCTGCTGGCGCAGAGTCAGAATGGCCGCTGCATTTCACCCCCGAGGTGGCTTCCTTCCAGCAGTGGGTGAGTGACCCCGGCGTCGCACTCTCTAACCTTCTTTGGGATCCTTCTGTACAGAAGGTGCTCCAGGCTCCAGAAGAGATGATCTGTTTGTCTGTGGCCTCGTCTCTGCCCACCACTCCTGTTCTCAGACCCTCATTCCATGGACAGTCAGTGGCACCCATTTTTGGTGTCCCCGTTTTTCCTGCCCATTTTTTGCATCCATAGTATTTTTTCCTAAGAAACAAGGAGTTAAGGGGTCCAGAATTGACTCTGAGAGGAGTCCGTTGCCCCAGAGGCAATGTACCAATAATGTCTTTAGGTATTGGTCCTAAAACTGGCTTCTCCTGGATCCCTAGCAGAGCAGGACAGAAATGCCCATCACCTTTGAAGATGCTTCCAAATCCACCAGCAGCATCCTTAGGCTTCATCTCCCAGATACATATTCTATAACCCTTCTTCTATGGCCTAAGGCCAAGTCCTGTGGGAATCTTGGCAATCCCCCGTTCTATATAGTTCATTCCACTTGGAGTGGGGCAGCTCTGCCTGCCCCTCCACGGGAGAAAAGGCTGGGCACCCACCCATCCACTGCCCCAGAGGGGTGAAAAACATTACAGCAACATGTGGAAAGGGTCTGTAGGGAAGTAATAAGGTTCTCTGTGGCCCAGAATTCCATTGGCCCAAGTTTCTATCCAAAGATCTCTTGAAAAATGCTGCCTGACCTGTCCCCTGCTGCACTTTTTCAAGTTAGAAATACATGACTGATAGGCGCCTGCTGAACTACATTCCTGGTGGCAGGGAGGGAAGGGAAACCAGCCGGCACTCTTTGCGTATGTGTCCAAAGGGACATGGACGTTCACAGAAGGATTGTGCTTCCGGGCGGTGGGGGGCGGTCAGCATGCCACTGCCTGTGCCTTCAATGCTCTGCCTTGGCAGCTGGCTTCACCCAGGACCCCAACCAATGGACATGTTTTGGGTGAATGTATTTGCAGGCAATGAGAAGTGCCCTTAGCAAGGTGGAGTTAGAGTCCTCGGGAGTATCACACACTGCCAAGCAAGTGATTCCCCCTGCTGTCTCGTCCACCAGACTTCAGCAGCGCTCTCCCCGATAGCCATAGTCAGGGGTCACTTGAACTCCCTACTTGGAAAGAAGTAGCATCAAGTTGTTGCCAATAGTAGCACAGCCATGTCCCTGTTTCCTTGAGTCTTTTGACCTTTGCCTAATTTGGAGTGTACCAGAGTTGAGATGCCAAAGTGCATTTGGGGAGGAGGAGGAGAGGAAGAGGCAGGCATTGCGCAGGCTACCAGAAGGCGTGCTACTGAGGGGCCTTCCGAGCAGAATGCCTGCCTCCACCCTGCTCCTGAGCCCACCAAGAACTTCCTGCAAGCTGAGTGTAGAAAGAGCATCTGCATTGTTCAGTCAGAACTAGAGGAAGGGGATAAGAAAGATCTCCCTGCACCGGGAGAAAAAGCAACAGGAAAGTGGGAATGTACAATTTGGAAAGTAGGCTGGGGTGTCTGTGCCTGGGCATGGTGCCACCAGTGCAGGGCACAGCTGCTGAGCCCTTGTCGCTCCTGGCATGCCTGCCTGGTTCCAGATTTGTCCAGAGGTTGCACTGCTGGAGACCATGAAGTACGCTCACCACCCACCAAAACTAACAGGCAGAGGCTGTCCTTTGCAAAGGGTCCTGTAAGTGCTGAGCATGATGGGAGGAGGAGTCAGATTCCAGGGAGGGCTCCCCAGCCTGGCTGGGACACCCTGCTTTAGGCACTTGGTTCTTATTGGAGTAAGGCAGCTCTGCCTGCCCCCTCCTTAGAAAAGTAATCAGCACACTTGCACCTCTCCTCCCTAGGATGGTTGCTATGGAGATCCCAGAGACACCAGCACCAATAACACAGGGTCACAAACAGAAGTGGTGGCTTCACCTGGCCTGTGCCATGTGCACCAAGCAGTGGGGAGCTGCACCAGCTCAGCGCAGTCTCACTTTGCCAGGATTCCCAGCCAGAAGGTGGCACCTTCTCTTTCTCAGGAGTCCCAAATACGATGGGGGGAGCACCTCAGGCAAAGCAAGAGTCTCTGAAAGGGTCTCAAGTGTGCCCAAGAACTGAAGCTCCTTTCTCAGTGAGGTTGAGAAAAATCACCCTGTGCTGCCAAAGAGGTCGCCTGGTGTGACTGGACATGGAGGAGTCCTTAGTCCCTGAGCATTTCCCTCTGCCTCTTTCCTTGAGAGTGACAGTCACGTATCATGTAGAAGGTGTATGGAGCTTGAAGACCCACCCACTCAGCTCTGCCACTGGCTAGCTGTATGCTATCAGGCAAGTGGCTTGAGGTCTATTTGAGCCTGTTTCCTCATCTGTCCAATGTGGGGTGAAGTAATTAATACCTAATTGGCACAGGTGGTATGGAGCACAAGGGTCTGTCAAATGTCTGGCGTGCTTGAGCACAATAGCTGCTCCATGTTCAATCAGTGGGGGCTGTTAGTAACTGTCCTTGGCAGCTCACCTGTGTCCTCGGTAATGGAACCATCCCCACCCTGCCACCATCAAGGTCTGGGTGAGTTGAAGAGAAAGGCACTTGAGAAGGGAGGATACAGGAGCCATTGATACCACCCCATTGGGCAGGAATAGGAAATTCAGAGAAAAGTCTCTGGGAGATCAGGGGACAGGCTGATCCTTCGACATTTAGTTCAGGTAGGAGGGCTGGCAACTCACCTTTTCTACATTACAATTTTTTAAGGAAAAAAATGCGCTGATAGTTGCCAATACACGCTAGAGTAAGGTAACTGAACCTGCTTACGGTCCCAGTGACTTTTTGCGGGAATTGCTTTCACAGGCGTGACTGGCAGATTCCATAGACCCACCACTTCCGTGGCAAAGCCTGGTTGTTTATACCACTGCTCATCAGATGGCGGGGACGGGTTGTTGCAAAAGAATCCAATTTTATTTTGATCACATTCCTTTTTTTTAACAAGTGTAAATGTACATGAATGTATATCAATTCTTCAGCCAGTGAGCTTTTTTTATTAATTCAATTTTCACCTATCTCTTGATTTTTTAAAAAAACCTGGGTGTTGTTTTATGTGTGTGGTATCTTATTTTTAAAAAGTCAAATAAAGAGAACATTTTAAAACCAAATAAAATGCCCTTTACCTCCCGAGACAGACCAGAAGGCTTGGCAAAGACCTGGGCATAATACAGGAACAGATCTTACCACTAGGCTCCTCCCCCTCCCCCCACCCCGCACTACTGAAGAGTGAGAACCCCGTAAGCAGCCTGGCTCTGCTGTGGGTTAGCAGTGTGGAATCTTTGGCTTGTCCCATAACCTGATTTTCCCATTTCATCTGCCCCACCTTGCCTCACAAAGTTCAATGAAGGATGATAAGAGACAGAGAGTTGAAAAGCTTTTTTGAAGCTACTCTATATTCAGTATGGATTTTCCTACCATCTCCTGCCAGAACTGCCCAGACCTCTAAACTATTCCCACACAATGGGCACTCTCTCCCCCATTTTAAACATCATTGAGAAAGGAGACGCCACGGAATGCCTATGCTCCCTTTTGAAGTCATTCTTTTTGCTTTGCTCCGTGAGGAAGGGGTGCCAGGGATGGGCACAACCTCCGGGGCTGTCACCTGAGGAAGTTAGGTAGTCAGGCCTTTGGCCCCTCCTCTCACTGCGAAACCCATGTCAGGGCCCCTGCCTTTCTACCTGGCGCTTCGGCTCCTGACCGCTTCCTCAGCAAGGTCCCCCAGGACTGTGATTCCACACATACTCATCATTTATGAACCTGAGCATCATCTACTCCTAGGTGACCTTCAGTCTTCTTGGGAGGACAGCTCATCCCTGGGGCCTCCCACTTCTTGCCTGCTGAGAGCGCTGGGTGAGCTCTGTTCAACAAAACACCACTTTTCATTAGCAAAGATGAAAAACGCCACAACAAGGTGACCGGTTTAGATCAATGGAGACTAGAAATAGTGTTCCAAATGAGTTGTGTTGTGAGTTCTAGTTCTCCTAACAGAGGAAGCTGGTTTTCTTATAGACTGGAGGGGAAGCGCTGAGTTTAGCTAAAAAGCTACGTTGCCGGGACAGCAATTGAAAAAGAGTAAGGAGTGGGAAACTTCAAAGCAAAATGTGACAGCTAGGGATTTTTTCTAATCTTTTCTTTTTTTCCTTTTGAGGTGTAATTACATATGGCAAAATGAGCAGATTGGAAATTTGTGGTTCAATGAATTTGACAAGTGTATGCACCAGGGTAACCTACACCCCATCACCCTAGAAAGTTCCCTTATGCCCCTCTCCAATCAATTGTGTCCCTCTCCCCCAGAGGAAGTCACGGTTCATTTCTATCCCCATAGTAACATGGATTTCGACTTGGTGCACTTGAGAGCTGTAACTTTGGTCTTAGGTCATCTGAGCAAAGCAGCAAGACAATCTCATCAGCAGCTCAGATGTCTTTACCCCCTTAGCATTGAAAAGGGTCCTGCCTGAGGCCCTGGTGCTTGGCTCCACTGCCCCCAATATGCCATCTGACCCCAGGGCTACTCTCTGAGCCACAGCCCTTCTCCCGCCCAAAGAGTTTAGCATCCGTCTCCCAGGTAAGTAAGTGGCGACAGGTCTTGGTAACCCGGATGGTGCATGTTTGTTGATTAATACCTGCAGGTGCAATGCACAGAAGCACAGCATGTCAAGCAGCATGTTCATTTTCCTTAAAGCATCGCACAAAAGGGAGCTATTCCTTTTGCACTTTTCTTTTCGAAACAAAGAAGTCCATGACCACCTTCTTGCAAGCTTCTAGCTGTCAAGATGGCCACAGAGCTGAAATGATTAGCTAGGGTAGAGGGTGGGAAGTGAACGTGTGGGGGTGTTTGGGAGCCCAGCACTGAGCCCGTGGTCCATGAAACTGAAGGATCTCAAATTCCATTGGATTAAACTTTGCCAAATGCCTCAAAGGTGAAAAGCGCTTTGTCTGTATGCAAAGCTTTGGTGTCTCTGGAACGTACCTTCCGCAGCTCAGTTCTTAATCACTGTATATTTTTTCACTTGGACAAAGGCTGCCTGCTAATAGCATTTTCAACCACCTTCAGCTGCTTTGCTCAGCCACGCCAAGGCTTCAGGCTGAGCTGGCTGCAGTTTCCTGGCACCATGACGCATTCCCAACTGACCAGCACTGAGGAACATCACACATTCACACCCTGAAAAAAACAGCTTTCCCTGTAGCTATGCAAGATGGCAGGCAGAGGCAGAATCACCCCTCCCCTTACTAAGTGTTTCCTATAGAATCATCCAAACTGGAGGCAGGGACGGGGGTGAAGAGGAGGAGGAAGAGCCCTAAGGGCTCAGGCTGTTGCTCTCCACTGTCTGAGCAGAGTAGGGAGCTCAGGAGCTCCCAGCAAGCCCCTAGCAGCATAGACCTTGGGGCAGCTCATCTCTGAACACAGGTAGCCTCTGCTGCCAGATTTCACTTTGATCCCTGAAAACTACAGGAACCTTAGCTCTTCAGAAGGGAGGCAGCTGCTGAGCCAGTGTGATTGCAGGATTTTCTTCCCCAAAGCCCGAGGCCAGGCATCTAGCCCTGCCTGCGTCCTGCATGAGTAACCACCATCCGGCCTCACCCAGGAGGTCACTGCAGAGAAGACAGATTGCAGCTGGGCAGAGTTGCCCCTGCCACTGCCCTCCCTCCCCGAATCCAGCCCACCTGAACCCAGACGACCTCCTTTAGCAGCAGAATTGGCATTTGGTAAATGCATGACCGAGTGCAGGAGCAGGGAGAGGGAGACAAAATTGCGAGGAGCACCACCTGGATTGCTGAGAGGTTGGGAACAATCTCAGGGCGTGTTCTCTAGGCTGGTCAGCTGCACCCCCACCCCCTGAAGTCCAGAGAAATAGAAGCAGCTGGGAGAGCAGGATTGATGGGTTGGCCACAGGTCCTTGGAGTCAGAGCTGTGAGGCTGAGTTCCAGGATTTCGGCAGGAAGAGATTAATTAGTGCCTCCAAGCCCTGCCCAGCCCACTCTGTAGAACTGGGAGGTATAGAGGATGGGGGGCCTCAGGGTCAAATTCAGCTAAAACAAATAGCCACACAGTCCTCCAGAAATAGACTCTTCAGCCCCCTTTCCAGCCAAAATGATCTCACTAATGAGGAAGAAGCTATAATGAGGACTCGGATGCCTGGTAAACCTCACCTTCTTTGTCTCTGGGCTTTTAACATACACACTGGCAACAGACTGTTATACAGAAGCTTTAGTGATTTTTTTTTTCACATCTGCCAGCTAAATCAGAGCCCCAAATGCTGTGTATGGCAAACCTGGAACATATATATGTGGGGACACAATGTATAATTTGTGGCCCTGGTGGAGAAAGGATGGGGGGGCGGGGGGGAGCCAGTATTTGGTATGTGTTTATCGCAGTAATAAGGAGCGCCAAGAGGAAAGCAAAATCCTTGGTGCCTTTTGTCTGAGCAGGGATGGACACGGGAAAAGGGAGTGGAAGAGATTTGTTAGAACTCTCGGACCACGAGGCTGCTAGACTCATCAGCTCCACATTTCCCCAGAGAGGAACACACACACACACACACACACACACACACACACACACACACACACACACACACACACACGCTTCCTGCCTTCAGGCCTGCTACAGAAGGCACAATCCCAGGTGAACCCACTGAATGACAAATGCCTCAAGCTCCATCTAAGAAAGGGCAGTCAAGGAGCTCACGGGCTGTGTGTGCCTTAGAATCCCGGGCTGGAGGGAGTCCTTGAAGGTCAGCCTCTGCTGGCTACAAGCTATTGTTGTACCTTATCCACTCTACACAGAGGCGTAGCCATCCTGCTTTTAGTGATTTTTGCAAAGACTGGCACTGTAACCTTCTAGGATTTAAAAAAAAAAATCTGATTAAAAAACCCTTAGCCTAGTATAAACGTACCCTGCTGCAGGCTAAGTTCAGTGTATTTGAAGATTCAGATAAGGTTGGCGATGGGGAGATTTTGTGTGTGTGCGTGCATTTAAGGATGGGGAGAAAAAAAATGAAAAGTTTGTCTCACTAATGAAAATGAGTGGAAGAAAGTGATGATGGTGAAAGAAAGGGGAAAAAAGAGCAAGGAGAGATAGGTACAGACTTTCCAATAGCTCCCGAGAGCAATTCCACGTTTGGACAAGCTCCCATCCATGCCAGCAGAATTCTCAAAGTCAAGCTGGCATGTCCCTCCATGGAGCGCTAAGCCAGATGACGCATTGTCCTGTATCCAGCAAACTCACAGCCCATGTTGTTCGTTTGTTAAATATGCCCGTTATCCATCAATTCATCAATCAGCAGGTTTATTGAGTACCCCACCAGGCTTCACAAGCCTGATCAATTTTTTTTAATTACATCCAGCTTACATGCAGCCAAGCCCAGCAAACAAGATGAGCCCTTACACCCCACTTGGAAATGACCATGAGAAACTGCTGGCCCTTGCACTCTCCCGCTCCCAAACACTGCCACCCATGCTGACGAGCGAGCATGTACTGCCCTTCGCAGATGGCGATGGTGTCACTGACCCCCTGTCAATAACAGGATGAGTTTTGAGTGTTTTCTCAGAGACACAGTGATCAATCTGCTTGGGTCCAGCCGCCCTCTCCTCCGGACCCCTGTCCAATGCTAAGAGAGGAACAGGAAATGGGCACAGGCCACAGCAAGGGAACTAAGCAGAGCGACTGAGCCTTGCTCATCTTCCTCACCTCTCCCCGTGGTGCCCACGTCACCTCCTCCTGGGCATGTGAACAGTTGGCCCCTCTCAGGCCCTCAGTGCCTGATATACCAGGCCTCACAGCCCAGCTCATGTTCCTGGTTTTCAAGGACTGCTACTTAGGTTGTAAGTGAAGTGGAGGCCCGGGGTACCACAGAGGGGGAGCCAAGGTCATAGGAGACGCCCCGGGTCCTGCAGTGGCACCTGTTCACCAGCCCAGGCTCCGAGCCACTGTGAATGCCCCTTTGACAGTCCCAGAACTGGGTCATCCAGAGGACCCAAAGCCTGTGTGTCTCTCCTGCATTTCAAACAGGATTCCTAGGTCTTCTGCATCCTTACGACGACTAGTTAATTCACTAATTTCTAATCATCCAGATCCTTAGTCAGCATCTATGTGGGTCAACCCACCCTCCCTGATCTTACTACTCCCCCATCCTTTTCCTTTCTCGCTTGAACAAAATCAAGTTCAGGGGCAGCCCACAAGCGTTAAGAGACGCTCTACCTAAGATTCGAAATGCCTGGCTTAGGGTAAGTAAAATTTCCACATCCCAAAAGAAGTGTCAGCAGCACACCCTCCCTCCCTAACCTGCCCCAGACGCCTGGATTTTCCAGC